GGGGGTCTGGGCTGAAAGAGGTCCAGACTGATACCCTTATGTATGTGTGCCAGGGGAGATTCAAGTGTTGTCCTAAACAGAAAGGGATACCCAACCCCACCTGCTTAAGTTTTAAGTAAGCCCCGCCTCCTTCCTCAACCCCTGCGCCTGCCCACCTGCCTCGTGCGATATTCCCAAAGCCAGGCCTTCTCCGCTCTCCACCCCCACCACTTGGACCCTGCTCTCGCCAGGGCCTCGACCTCTGGCCTCTGCTCCAGGCTACTCTCCGCCTAGTCCAGAGCTCTTTAAAAAAATTTTTTTATGTTTATTTTGAGACAGAGCGTGGGCGGGGGAGGGGAAGGGAGAGAGAGGCACACAGAATCCTCAGCAGGCTCCAGGCTGTGAGCTGTCAGCACAGAGCCCAAGGCGAGGCTTGAACTCACTAATCCTGAGATCATGACCTGAGCCGAAATCCGACCGCTTAACCGACTGAGCCACCCAGGCACCCCTCCTCTCCCCCTACTCTAGAGCTCTTAAATAAACGTCTCCTGTCCCAGTTCTTCCCTTCCCTTGAGCGGGATACTACCTCATTTTACAAATGAGTAAACTGAGGTTCGGCTCGGCCAAATCACTTGCTCTAGGTCACCAGGGCTGGCCGACCCCACAGCCCAGGTTCTTGGCTACCACTGGACAAGCTGCCTTCCGGCCAGGGTCCACCCCTTTTGGAGAAGCAAAGCACACAGTAGGAGCTCCTAGACTTAGTCCAGGAATGGAAGGGACGGCACGAGATCTACGGTCTCGGATCCAGTTCCCGAAGGAGATAAAATGCAGGCGGGGAGGGCGGGTGTGTCTCATTCGCCCCCGCCACAGTTCTCAGGCGGGTCCCTCCAGCCTCTCCCACCCAGACGGTTGCTTCAGGCCGCAAACGCGGAGCCACGCCCCCATCTGTTTCCGCCTCCGCATCGCCCTTTCTGATCCCAGCGGCCTCCGTAACCCCGCCTACCAGGAAAGCCAGCCCGGAACGCCGACTCCGCCCTCGCCGGCATGAAGCCTCCACAGCGGCGGCGAGCGGCCCCGGCGCGCTACCTGGGCGAGGTGACCGGCCCCGCGGCCTGGAGCCCCCGCGAGAAGCGGCAGCTGCTACGACTACTGCAGGCGCGGCAGGGCCAGCCGGAGCCGGACGCCACTGAGCTGGCCCGAGAACTGCCGGGCCGCAGCGAGGCCGAGGTGAGGAATCCTGGCAAGGAAGCGGGGGTGGGGGCGGGGCTAGGATGTGGGCGGAGCATCCTTGCGGTCGAGGGGCGGGGCGTGGGCGGTGCTGGGGGCGGGACGAACTTGGGAGCTAGGATGGGGTGGGCGGGGCGTACGTGAAGATGAGGGGCGGGGCGAGGTGGAGGCCGAGAGTGCGAGAGGTTAAGTCGGACTCCTGATAAGGCGGAGCGGGGAGCGGAGGCCGGGGACCGGGCGGAAAGGGCAGCGGGACCTGGCGGGAGTGAGGCAGAAGTGAGAGTCAGGAAACGGAGCCGAATGGGTGAAGCGGGAAGGTGAATGGGGTGGTACTTAGCGGGGGGTGGGCCCTGGCTGCGGGGAGGAGCCCGAGCTGACCTGGGTCTTAACACTTTATTGAGTGGCTGGTCACACCTGGGGCCTTGGCCCTCGTCCCCGTGCAGAGTCACTGAGACCCCTAACACCTAGCGGGAGGCTAGGGAGCGGTGCCGGTCCTGGGGCAGGCAGTCGGCTTTGGCTTCTCTCCCCAGCCCTGGGCGTATAGAAGGCTCATTTGGCCTCCTCCTCTCTTCCCCAGATCCGGGACTTCCTGCGGCAGCTCAAGGGCCGCGTGGTCCGGGAGGCCATTCAGAGGGTGCATCCAGGTGGCCCGCAGGGTCCAAGGCGCCGGGAAACACAGACCCCGGCCCCCATCGAGGTGAGGCAGGACTAGACCCACCCACCACCCACCCCCCACGGCCGGGCCCTGGGGCATGGTGTGGGTGTTGCGGGGGTTGGAGAGTGATAATCTGGCCAGGGGCTCCCCAGGAGGGGCAGGGCTTGGATCAACCCCTGAGGGTTGATCCCTAGGCTGACCGTGTACTTTCTGGTCTCCCCATCCAGGTATGGATGGATCTGGCTGAGAAGATAACAGGCCCGCTGGAGGAAGCCCTGACTGTGGCTTTTTCACAGGTACGGCCCTCCCCCAGGCAGGATGGGGGTGTTACGCGTAAGGCTAAATACGGTGGATTGGGGTCTTGGAACCTTCCCCTGGCCAGCTCTGTGACTCCAGCCAGCCACTGAGCACCCTGAGCCCCAGTGACCCCGCTGCCGAAGCATCTCGTGCATGTTACGTCTAACAGGGGGGATTTGGTGAGCAGGTGGGGGTGGAGGGCTCAGCCTTGTGCAGGGCAGAGGGCTGGCTGATGGGAGGACTTCTGCCTTCCCCTCCCCGATCTCTCTTCCTGCCAGGTACTCACCATCGCGGCCACAGAGCCCGTCAGCCTCCTGCACTCTAAGCCCCCCAAGCCCACACAGGCGCGTGGAAAGCAGCTGCTGCTCAGCGCCCCTGGAGGGCGGGAGGACTCGAGCCCTGAGACCCCGGAGACCCCTGGCCCCGCCCCCAAGACAAGTGACCCCGACCCTGAGGCACCTTCCGAATCCCTGGCTGATCCCGCGGCTGAAGGAGATCTCTCCGTGGACTTTGAGAAGATCTACAAGTATCTGTCAGCCATCTCCCGCAGTTGCCAGGGCCCTGAACTTTCTGCAGCTGGTGAGGATAACGGGAAGGGGCTGTGAGGGAGTCCCAGGTCGCAAGCCCCGCCCCACCTCACTCTTCTCTCCTCTCTATCCTTTACCAGAGTCGGCTGTGGTCCTTGACCTGCTGCTGGCACTTCCGGAGGAGCTCCCCCGCCTGCCCTGCGCGGCCCTGGTTAAACATATGTCGGATACGTACCTGCGCCTGACCGCCCCCCAGCCGGACCCAGCTGGTGAGGGCCTGGGGCCCAGAGCTGAGAATGGCGGGACAAGCCCCAGGGGGCCGGAGGAGGCCAGCCAGGCCATGCCCCAGGCCCCAGAGAATGCTGGGCCCAGTGAACCGAGATCTGCTTGGCAAGCAGCTGGGGTCTGCCCCCTGAACCCGTTCCTGGTGCCCCTGGAATTTCTAGGCCAGGCAGCCACCCCTGCACGTTGAAGGCCTGGCAGGCAGAGGACACACCAGACATCTGTGAACCCCCTGGCCCTCAGTCCT